AATGCTACTCAGGGTGTGCAGAAGCTCTAGGGATGGAGAGCAGGGCCATCGCCGGCAAGCAAATTACTGCCTCTTCGCAATGGGATCACAATGAAGCTGCTCATAATGGTAGACTTCACTTTAAAGAATCAGGTTACAAAGCAGGGGCTTGGGTGGTTCGCACAAATGATGAAAACCAGTGGCTCCAGATAGAGCTGATTAATTCAAACGTTAAAATAACAAAGGTTGCAACACAAGGACGAAACAGTCGAACGTTTTTTTACTGGGTAACCAACTACCATTTAACTTACAGCAACGATGGAGTAAAGTTCCACATTTATAGAGAACGTGGACATATAGAAGCGAAGGTTTGATAATTATCTTAAGTAATCTTCATCAGTAGTCCATCTGTATTAACTGCGATTTTATAAAAAATAAATACATTATATGAGGCAAACCATGCACTTCTCTAAGCGATCAGTTCGAAAGAATAAAATTCAGCGTGAATTAAGAGGAACCACTGCGCTGCTTCAGGGAATAAGCACCAAAGTCTGCGCTGATCCCACAGCCTCTTTCTGTGTGGAATAAAATAATTAAAAGAGTCTAATTAAAATTACTGCGGAAAAATTAAAATCACGAATAAGGTAAATATATCAAAAAGCACAGCAGAGAATTTTAACTGGCTTGGATCTCCATGATTTAAATCCGTGGATAATCTGACATTACAAGAGATGTTTAAGGCTTGTTCTGGCCTTTAAGAAGGTGACATTGTTCAGTATACGATGTAAAAGCAAACATGTCCGCTCGAACGTCTGCAGGCGGTGAGACTGGTTTGACAATTCTTTTTTGAAAGCCCTTAAGCTTTTCTGGAAACAACAGCGTTAAGAATAGGATTTTTCATGCGATTTGTACCTTTTTTCATCGTATCACGTAAGAAATCAAGTGACTTGATTCGTAATCTCGCTCTTAGCACACTTTTATCTTAACAGTCGTTCGGAATAGAGTCTGAAGAATCTCCAAAAAGTGTTAGCTCTCAATTTCATAAGAGAATTAAGTCTTAAATGTTCTGTGGATATTTTCGTTTTTCAAGGACGGAAAGTAGTTTAAGTGATGATAACAAAAGTGTTGTTCACTTTAAGAAATAAGTTATGTTCTCTGATAAAGGCTAACATTCATGTCGCGCGGATTATGGCACTAACGGATTTTTGCGGACTTTTTTAAAATGGTAGATTTAAATTTGGCCTAAACAGTTCAAACAACCCAAGGTAGACGAATGCAGTGCATGCAGCATAGACAGCAAGTTTACGTTTCTCAGCGTGTTCATTTCATTCTAGAATTTCGTTGGAAACACAGACAAAGACACTGTCGTGTCCCATGATCTTTTTCCACCAATTAGAGCAAGATACATCCGTTTCCGACCGACAGCTTGGTATGGTTGGATAACAATGCGAGTAGAGCTGTACGGCTGTTTAGGTAAATATGAAATCGATTTGTTGATAACGAGTAATGCGTTGATTGACGTGTAATTCGCAATTCAATTATCTTGTGTTCTCCTTAACTGAAAGTTATTATGTTTAATCATTTCATTCCTTTAACATTGAGGCGTAAGAGCACCAAACCTCATTTTCCATTTTACGCCCAAAACATATGCCTCAGTAAGTCTTAATTTCATTTAATCGGGGTTTTTTTACATCTTTAACAATGACTCTAATAATGTTATTTTCCCCTTACGTTTAAAAGTTGATTAGCATCTCCCGCTTTTTCTCTCCATCTCCCGCTGGAATATGCTCTACCATGAAGATCTACTTCTTTTTGTCCCTTTATAACTCAGTTTTGGCAAGGAAGGCAGATGAATATATACTCTCAATTAAAACTTTGTGTTTATTGTCTGAAAATTTAAAGAATGTCAAGATGCTTTTGGTATGGAAAACGGTGCCATTTCTGATGGACAAATTACTGCCTCTTCAGAACTGAAAGCAGCTCATGCGGCGAATAAGGCTAGACTAAAAGCTTCAGAGGGAACTTGGTTGCCTCTCACGAACAATGGCGACCAATGGCTTCAGATTGATTTGCTAGGAAACGATATCCTCGTAACGAGAATTGCCACACAAGGACTGAATAACCCTGACATGAGCAAATGGGTTACTAGCTACAATCTACAATATAGTAACGACGAAATTAACTTCCATTACTACATAGAACAAGGGGAGTCAGTAAAAAAGGTATATTAGAGTGCTACAGAGTAAGTTAGTATTATCAACTGGCCACCGTAAAGAGTTTCAAACCCAACGTTTCGAGCGTTGGCCCTTCGTCAGAGCAAAGGACTACCGCTCACTTCGCTCTGACGAAATTATTATGCTATACCCTTCCACCGACGCAGCATCACAGTTTCCTTACATTAGAGTACTAACGAGGCTTCTTTTTCATATAAACCATGAATTTGGCTGTTTTTTCTCCTTTTATTCTCTCAATACATCCATAGTTATAGAACATCTGTATAAAACATTCGGAAGTATTTTTAAAAACCTTTTGAAGTGGTCGGGGAGCGCGGCAAATTAGGTATGTCATCAGAAGAAAGAAAATTAAAATTCAAAATCTCTACCTTTCCATAACAACATCTTGCATGAAAATTTTATACTTTCCCACCTAGACGATTTTACTTTTTAAACTGCCGTCCCAGGCTGACTTAGAACTACCAACTTCTCCTTAATTGTTTTTCACTTTAAATTCTGACTAGTAATTTTTAAAAAGTCAGTGAGATTTAATTATCAAACTTTCTCGATCGACAAAATCAGCAGATTCTTTTCTTTTTTTTTCTTTTTTTGATACATCAAGGCTTTTGATGGAAATATTGACAGGTATTCAATAGTTTACCACGACTTAAATCCCTCCATCGTGGGACGTTACGTCCGATTTCGTCCAATTAACTGGAACGGGGAAATTGCCATGAAGGTGGAGCTGTTCGGTTGTTCAGGTAATTTTAACAGTAGGACATAAGCTTTCATGTCAAGTCGTCACTAAGTCGCACCTCGCATGAAGCACTCCCAAAAATGACGTTAAAGCCTCATATGCAGTTGTAATCTCCCATTCCCCGATGGAAACTGTCCTTGCAACATCCTAAGGCAGGATGATAAGTTCAAGACATAGATTCATGGGTTCTCCTTCCCGCGGGCTAAAGTACCATTACCTCCGACTAAGTAACAACCATCATCCAACAACATGCTGGGGAAACCGAGCTCAAGTTGTGCTAGCCATTTGGCTCGTGAACCTTTTGGTCACAACGCGTATGCTCTTCTGCTTTTATAGAAAATTTTTCCCGAAAAAAGGAGCCTTATACCAAGTAGAAAAACATATGCGATACAATCAATGCGCGAATTTGTCTAACAGCCTACTAGTCCTGTTAGGAAACACACACATACGCACAATGAAATGTGCGAGGAACTACGATCTCTATACTCTTTAGGACGGACATATGGTAGGACGTACGACTCGGCAGACTGACAAAAAAAATAGCAACTTAAATCTGATATGATTTTTGCAGATTTGGATGAATGTCAAGAGCAGAAACACAATTGTCACGACATGGCACATTGTAGCAATACTGTGGGCTCATTCAATTGCACTTGTCTTCAAGGATTTACAGGAGACGGTGTTATTTGTGCTGGTATGATATTTGACTGACTCCACGTGCTCAAATATGTCTCAACTGAAACCGGAAATACCCGGTTATAGAGACAACTGATTCTCTGCAACCTTCAAACGGAATGTACAATTTGAGGATTGTATCATTTTGTTGTTTAGGATGCATAAACGTCTTTTTTCTTCTTGCCAAAGAGCTGTGGACGATGAAATTTTGTCCCAAGAAAAAAAAATATTTGAAAGATCTTTAAGTCAATATTTCCTAATGGGCTCGAAAATATGCTCGCACATATTTTCTTTAACAGTATGTGTATTCCGAAGCTCCCAGTTTTCATCGTGCTCGCTTTCGAAAACTGGTACCCTTTTCTGAACAGACGATGTTAACAGTCAAATATTCGAAATATTTAGATATGGATAAGTCTTCAAAGATTCATATGCAGCTCAGCCCAATCTTATCCCTACATGTACGCTCTCATTTCCTGTGATATTAATGCGTACCTTAGTATCGTGCCCATTTTCTCAAATAAAGTGACTTATATATCACTTTGAACCACGATAGCCTTTTACAACTTGCCGAACAACGTTTAACTCCAAATTTGGATAGGGTATGCTATACAATATTCTCCAACTCCGACAAGATCGTTCCATCAATAATGATTTCTTCTCATGCAGAAAGATAATGCGTGCCATTACAAAAAAACGGGTATCAAGAATTCCTTGTTGGAGTTTCAAAAGACTCAGTATTTTGCGGGTTTTGCTGATGTTTCTAAGTTTTGAAAATTATTTAGGAAATGGAAAATTTCACTAATCGTCACTGAAAAAACCCGTACATATGCCTCAAAAAGTAAGCTCGTTAAAGATTTGGATGTATGGTCATGTTTTCGGTATCATTCTTGCCTCCTCGTTTCAAAATAAAGTCAATATTTTCTTTGAGGTTACAGACAAGGGCCATTTTCCAAATTGGATCTGACAACAACTTGTTGTTTCATTTCATCTAATGCAAGCTATTGTTTACGTTTATAATGACCTCTAAATCCATAGATATAAACGAGTGTAAGGAAAAACTGGATGACTGCGCTCCTGAGGCAAAGTGCTCTGACAGAAATGGATCATTTACATGTAGATGTTTACCTGGATACTCTGGAGATGGACGATTTTGCAATGGTACGTATAATAAGCTCAAATCTCTGGCTCACCTTTACGAACTCTGCCGCTGAAATTCTGAATGAGTTGTTAACTAAACGTTCTAGTAAACTTTGACATTACGCCGATGAAACTGTTAAGACCTTAGATACTCATGCGACCGGAAATATCAATAAGGATTAAAATAATAACCTTGATTAAAAGACAGCAATGATAATGGTGGTAATAATAACAATACTATTGACAGAATACCTGTCCTTACAATATGGACATTTTCAAAATGTAATCTTACAGCTTTTGATATCTATGAGCAAGATCTATTTCATAACATTCTTTAGAAAAATTTAAGAGTCATTTGATAATCGTCACTGTCAGTCTGACACCTCAACAGTAGTAACAAAACCTCATCCATGCCCCATTCTTTTGGATATGGGCCTTGAGAAATAATAATTTTTTTTTCTTTCTTTCTTTGTTTTTTGAGATTAGGTTTGAGAGCTATGTAGTCTTAAACACCTATTTCTTTTTTCGTATAGATATTAACGAATGCAACACAAATGTGCACAACTGCAACCCATGGGCAGTTTGTAATAACACAGTGGGATCTTTTAGTTGCACATGCTTCAAAGGATATGAAGGAAATGGTACAAGTTGTGTTGGTAGGAAATATTTGCAAGATCAATTCTTTCTTGTTGTCTTTTATTTACTGGGGCACTTATCCTTGTAATAATACTTAAACACATTTATTAAATTATGTAGATGTCGATGAATGTGCAACCTCAACTCATGACTGTCATGGAGTTGCTCACTGCTTTAACAATCCGGGATCCTTCAGTTGTGAGTGTCGCAAAGACTACATTGGAGATGGAATAGCATGTGAGCCAAACGGTAAGATTAAATTCAAATTTCAGCGAAACGAAACCGGGCAAAAAAATTAATCAGTTCATTAAGTTCTATACATTTCTATAATCGAACAAGGTAGTCGGAGTAGAATTATCATTTATTTCAACGTTTGATGTAAAGTGAACCAAGCCTTAGAATACTTCATAAAAGAAGCCCTGGTGTGAAATACCAGAAGACAATTCATTTTGTTGCTAAAAGCATGTTACAGAAAGCTTGTTTCTTTGAGGTTGAAAGCTTCATGCAGATGTGTTTCCAAAATATTCCTAGGAGATTTCTCGGTGACCATCAGAAATATTTCACAAGACAAGTACCATGCCACAACTGTAAGTCGTTCAGTCAAAAGCATCCAGGAAGCCGTGATACAGGGTCTAAATGAAGACTTGACTGTACTGAAAAGCACTTTCGAATGGAGCGTGGTTAGTGAAATGGAGCTAGCTGCTTCCGAGTCAGCATTAGGTACTTTAGTTAGTCAAGGAACAACGGAGTGGACAATAAACAGACGATCCATACCAGCAGGTATCTACCAAGTCAAATTCAATACTACAATTACAGTTGGAGATCAAGAATCCCCACGGATGCTCTATGCTTTTGATTATGGCTTTATCGAGGTTATTGCAGCTCCAGTGCGAGCAATCATTGATGGGGGAAGCAGTGTTCGATGGGGATCCAAAAATATTGTGACTGTGGATGGTTCCCTGAGTTACGATGCTGATATTGGTCCTGGAATACATACTGGGCTCAACTTCACGTGGACCTGTCGGAATAACACTAGTGTGAGCAACACTTGTTTCGGTTCCTTTCATGATGAAGGAAACTTAAGCTCCGCAATAATTAGAATTGATCC